GGGGGGCTGTGCATTTATTTGTCATGATCGGTTGGAAACCTTTTCAAAAAGGCATAACTTGACAACGATTCTAGAAATAGAATTGAACCAGCTGACTTGCATTATATGGATTACATTTCTGGTACCTACCCCATTGTTCTTTTGTGATATCTTCTGTGGCTGTAAAAGAAATACAATTGGTCTACTGCTATGAAACTGACGAAACTGAAGGTAAGTAATGTAAAGTAATTGGGGTGTTTGCAATTCCTCTTTTAAAATATTTAATCAGTTGTTTATCTCATTTCTATCTGCATATGAAACAAAGTAAATGAGGTGATACATGCAGACCAAATTGAGTGCAACAATTAGTTAAGTCCTGCAGACATATTATTAAAGGAAGATACAGTAAAGTCCACGAATCTCGAACACGAAAATCTCGGGTATCTCGAACATAATGCTTGGTCCCGTTTCAGTCCCTATATTTTCTTTGTATTGACTTCACTGAGTTCCCGAACACTCGAAACATACAACACTCGAATCTGGAGCAAATCGTCTTCGCATTCTCAACTGAAGACCCGCCTTTACAGCCTTTTTGGCCGCGGGTAGGTGTTTCTTTGTTATTGTTACAGCCAAAACAATGGTCCTTGTTCCACCACGAGAAGCTGGGGGGAAGGGGGAAGGGGAAAGGAATGACGTAGGAGTCGGCTGTGCACACGTGAGATTTTCTGCTTTCCACTACTTTCATTCATCTTCTTGCTTTCACAACGTCAACACGTTTATCAAGGGAGATAATCATGTTAATCGTTTTAATGTTCTTTTTACTTCCCTTGATTTTCTCTCTTTTTTTTTTTTCTTTCTTTTTTTTCTTTGTATTAGGGGCTTTCGTGGACATGACGAAGTACGGAAATCTCTACATTATTTCCAATGCCCGACGAAATCGAGTTACCCACGTTTGACGGTAGATGCATGCCTGGAAGCTGACTTTTAATATATGTTGGGGATAATGTTCTGAAATTGTGGGCAGAGTCTCTTCGAAGGTGACTTTGTTAAGAGTTAGCCTATTCCATCATCAGGTCAAGACCAGTGAACAGAGAAGCTATGTAGGTTGACATTTTATTAGTAGGTTGATATTTCTAGGGACGGGTAGGAAGGGGCCTAGGTGAGTTACAGATAGAAAGTTGCCAAACTGGTTAAAGATTGAAAGATACCCTATTCAGGTTCCTTGCCTTAATCTTTTGTCGCGGTCATTGCTTGCTTTCGAGTCTTACTAAACATGAAGCTGTGAAAATTCTGACTCTAGATTTTCAAACCCGTGTCGAAAAGGAACCATTTTTAATATACCCCCCCTCTCTCTCTCTCTCTCTCTCTCTCTCTCTCTCTCTCTCTCTCTCTCTCTC